CTCTCTAGGCCTTTTAGAAATCATGATGTGGATCCTTTGGCAACATACATACAAATCTACAAGAAAGGTGATATCGCAGACATCAAGGAAATGGTACTGTTGAAAAAGGAATGTGTCACGCCTATTACCATGGCAAACAGGAAGAGTCTACGGTGTTACCCAGCATGCTGTTGGCATTGTTGTGAACAAGCAAGGGCAAGATTCTTGCTGAGAGAATTAAAGTGCATAATGAGCATATTAAGCATTCTAAAACATGAAGGAGAATGACCAGAAAAAGAAGAAAGCTCAGGAGAAAGGGACCTGGGTTCCACCAAAGCGCCAGCCTGCTCCACCCAGAGAAGCACACTTTGTGAGAACAATGGAAAGGAGCCTGATTTCTGGAACCTATTCTTTATGAATTCATGGCATTATGGGTGTTAAAAATAAACTAAACTATGGTCTATTAAAAAAAAAAAACCCTCCAGGTCATGTGTGTGCGTGCCCAAAATCCTGAGAGGAGAATGGAGAAAGGGTACCGCATGGCCACATGGCCATCTCACCTGGGGGGTGATTCCTCATTTTCCCTCTCCCTATCTCTGTCTCTGTCTCTCTCTCTCTGGTGAGCACACACGCCCTATGGCAAAAACCTTAAAAAAGAAAAACAAAAATACCGGAAAGTCAGGGAGAAGCAAACTGGCTTATTATAATCGTAGCCAAGGGTCTCCTGCAAAGTGACAGCCATCTACTTACGAACTGCTCAGGCCCCCCATCTCGAGGCCGGAAATTCCAGGTCACTGTTAGAGCATCGCCCACAGGAGCGAAACTGGAGAAAGTGCATTTTAACCGCACGTCCGTCCCGTTAACAGCCTCCAGGGCCCGGGAGGTGTAGATTTCCACAGCCGCTATAGACCACGGAGCTGCAAGGAAGACAAGGAAAGGGAAGGGTTTAACGGGGTGTAGTCTTGACAGAACTGCTGACCCTTCCAAACTAAACGTCTGAGCAGAACATAAAAACCGAGATGCCCTGCTCTCAAACCTGCCCCACCCCAGCCTCCCTACTCCTCCCTCTGCAACCTTGACCCTCCCATTGCCCACTGTGCCTGGCAACTAGAAATGCCAGCAGCACACCTTGCCAGTGCTTTCTCTCCCCAGCAAGGTGCCCTCACCGTGCCGTGCCCACTTCACAACTTTTACAGCTACAGGCATCGGCAACTAAAAGTGCAGGCCGAAACAGAAGTGTAGATTAAACATGATGCTACAATCAAGAAATGTTGTATTATGTTTTTTTAAAAAAATTCCCCCAGTTCATACATTTTCCAGAAAGGGGTCTCCCTATGTGAGTTTTGTCCTGTTACTAGTCTACAGAAATTAACTAATCAACTCTGGACAGTTGCTTGCCCACACCCCTGGAACCCTTAGACCACGTGGCATGTTTTTAACCACGCTGTTTACATTTGGAATGTATGTGTTGGAGCGGTTTCAAAACCACAGTGGGTTTCTCTCCCTAACAATCTCAGCTCACTCCCCCACTGCTGCTGCCTGAGTCCCAGTTGGGACCCACAGACAGAAACCTGAGTGCCAGGCCCTGCCAGCGGCCTGAGAGCAGCCACAGAAAATGGTGCGTAACCTGAGATTAGAAAGCCCTCTCTGTGCCCGAATCTCTGGGAGCCCGAACACACCTAAACCTGTTTGTCCAAACGCAGTTCCCCCCAAAACAACCCACCAATTTCAGTTTCAGCCAAATCCAAGCTAAAACAACTGAAACGGGGGGTTCAGGCGCCCCAGCTAAACTCTGCGAGGTCTCAGACCACTAGCGAGCTCTACAGGGTAGGCGAGGAAGGAGGAAGTGCCGAGGCAGCCTCAGCTCTTACCTGTGAGCTGGAAGCCAAGCAGGAACAGTGCCACACGCGCAGAGCTCTTGCCATACATGAGGGCACCCAGCCCTGGCCCTGAGACCAGACGGGGCAGACGCGGCTCCGACACCCTGCCGAGGCCACTCCGGGAGGGGAGCCGCAGCGAGCACCGCGCTTTCCCGAGCGGAGACTGAGTCGCTCACCTTTGGGAATCTGAGCGCCCGTGAGTCATCCCCCTCCCTGTGCTCTCTGCTGGAATGAAAGGTGGGGCCTCGGCTCCCAACGCCCTCCTTCCTCCTCCCTCCCGCTCTGCTCTCCACGCTGCGAGCACGTCTGCACGAAGGTGGTCAGTTAGTCTGGGCTCCGGCAGGCCCTGCACGCTGCCAGATGAGGTGGTGCCGCTGCGAAGTGGCCCGGGCCGCTTTGGGTCTGGAGCGCACACACCCATTAGAGAACAGGCTTTGCGCTCGTCTGGGAAGTGAATGTTGAAAGCACCTGCAGTGATTCCGTTCCCCAGAGCACCACCCCAGAGCCACGTTGGCTGGGACCAGGTTCACTGCTACTCCGGAGAATCCAGAATTCCCGAGGACCCTCTGTGGACAAAACGCCCTACCGCTGCCACCCTGGATTTCAGCCCAGTGTTGTTGAGAGGGTTTCTGCTCCTTTTCCAGCTTTAGCTCTTCCTGAGAGCCCGCTGGGGGAAAAAAAAAATCCTATCTCTGTGTGTAATAGTCCTTTACCTTTGAAGGATTTTAAGAGTCAGGACACCAGCCGTGTTCATTCTCCCCCACCCCCTTCTCAATGCGGTTTGCAAGCACTTTCCTGCCTCCTTCATCTCCACAACAGCCCTGGGACCCGAACCCGGTTTACTGGCGAGGACACGGAGAGCCCAGGGAGGGTAAGCGACGTGCCCAGAGTTGCACAGCCAGTCGATGGCAAGACTGGAGCTCTTCTGACCTCAACCCTAGTGCTCTTTGAGTGAAATAACAGCATAGGAGTAATCAGAGGACTTTAGGGAAAAGGTTTTCATAATTTTTGTGTGCCTCAAGTTCTGTGTGCCATTTTTAGGGCAGCCATCTGTCTGAGCAGTCTGAAGTGTTGAGAAAACGAAATGAGCAAAGGTTCCCTCGTGTCTGGAAAGAGAGCGGGTGGTTACAGATTAGTGAAGGAGCTGTGAGTGAGAGGAAGATTACACACGCAGCAGCTAAGAGGCCGGACCCGGAATCTCCCCCTGAACAGACAGGATCATCGGCTTTATCCCCAGATTAGCAGCTAGAAACTCTTTAGTGATTCATAAAACCTCCTGACTGAATCTTGGAACAGAGAGGTTGCTGGTGGGGGAGTAAGGAGCAGACTGAATAGATAAAACAAAACATCGTAAAGGGGTGGGGGGGAGAGAAAATTCCATCCAAACAGAAGCAATTACAGACATGAGGGAAAAAAGCAGGAGAAAGGTGACCCGGGCATAGGGCAAAAACAGGCAGACAAGGAAGTCTGTCACAATAGGAAGAGAACCCAGGGGTGTCTCCCCCCAAAAGATCAGCTGTACATAGGGAGAAAGTGCTATTGTGAGGAGTTTCTGGGTCCGGAACCCTGGGGCACCCTCCCAGTGGTGGTGAGGAGAAGAGACAGCCTTTCTGTATAAGTCAGAAAGTTCAGCTCCAAGATCCTGAAGGCAGAAGAGTTAAAGAAACATGATCTTCCTCGTTGGCTTTCAACGTTGCAGGGAAATAAATGCAGCTCTAGAGGAGGGAGCCGGGGTGTTTTGAAGTCCACGGAACTGCGAACTTTGGTGAGAGGTAGAGTTACCAAAGAGCTCAGGGGTAGGGCGCAGAGCAGCAGGAGAGGAATCTGGGCAGGAAGGGCCTAACAGACCGCCTGTTGTCAGCAGCAGAGGATCCCTCCCCCTGGTAGCCAGACACCCTGGAAGCTGGCTGTCAGCCCTGCTCAGAGGGGCAGCAGCTGCCCAGATCCCATTCCTCAGCAGAGTTCAAGCTCCTGGCTCTGAGCCCGGCACCGCCCCATTCCTTCCAGTTAACAGGAGTGGCTCGAGTCACCCATTTCCTCTCCCAGATGAAGAGGGAGGCCACGGGCTGAACTTACTAACAGAAAGTGGGGAGCACACTTGCCCTATGACAAAAAACATTAAGGAAAGAAAGAGAGAGAGAGAGAGAGAGAGAGGGAGGGAGAGAGAGCGCACATGCACCCACCAGAGAGAGAGAGAGAGAAAAACAACACCACTCG